GCTCAGGCATTTCAGAATGACCAAAACAACATATAGATGCTGTGAGCGAGATCAGTCTGCTGCTAGTCAGGTTATCCCGTCTCATAGCGCAAAGTCATTACTTTTTCGATGCGCATGGAGGAATTTATTTGGTAAATGTGTTTACATTGTAGTTTATGCACATTTTTATTTTTATTTTTTTTCCATCTTGGCGTTTCCATCCAGCGGGGTTTTTTTTTTATGCGATACTCCAAAATGTGCATAAAAATAGGTGGATGGAAACGCAGCTGTTGCCTTGTCTAGAGGTTTCAGTCTTTTAGATGCCACGGGCCCCCCAAATACAATCATCCTTGTGCAACATTTTTTAAAATGCCTTTATCAGTTTCATCTATGTTTTTATTTAATTTTGTTTTAAGCTAATTTATTGATTGTACTCATTTAAGTTTAATCCTTTTTCTACTTTTTTTTTTTCTCTAAACCCCAGTTTAAAAACCCCTGGCCTAGTTGCTATTACAGTTATTCATCAAACAGTAGACCCGTGAGAGGTCTGTTAGAATAGCCAACACCCTAGTAATATTCCGCCAATGTCATGTGCCTATAGAGTAGTATTGCATCCTGCATATCACCAAAGAGTCTTTAGTTTTATCAGATTAATAAAAGACAGATACAGATGTGCCACTTCTCTCCTGGAGGCTTGCTGTGGGCAGAGTTAAAGAGTCACAAGCATGCAAAGTTTTTGAGTAGCAATCATCTGCATTTGTCACCGAAATGCCGGGAACAAATAAACACACTTGCACAACTCCGTTGCTGCCCCAGAGAAAACAACTGCATCCACTGTTCCCTTAACACTGGGTTCTTTGGGAAGCTGAACAAGGTCATCTTTCCCTCACAATGAAAAACACCTCTTTGCTCACCTCTTTGGTAACATTGTTGATTTCTTTGTCTAAAAACAAAGTGGCAAGTCCTGTGCAGCGCTCTGGCTCTCGCTCTGGTGGATGTGTGCGCTCCCTCCTCCTGGAGAAGTGCCCATACAAGGAATTCCGCCCTTTATGATGTCATACAGGGCCATACTCGGAAAAGAAAAACTTTCTGATACCAATACGAACCCTGAAGGAGTGTATTTGGCACAGAAACAATCCGTCATACGTACTAATTTTTTGAAACTTTGGCCATGTTTAGCATGAGAATCCCACTCTTTAGCTGTGTAAATAAGTCAGAATGCATGAAAAATAGCATTAGACCTCTCCTTTAAATAAACAGTCCATAAAGAACTGCCTTTCAGTATACCCACAAATACTTACAAATCTTTGAACGTGTTGTAGGACATGTGAGATCCAGAAGGTTATGGCTTTGTATTAAAATCGTATCATTAAAGAGACATCATCTACGAAGCCAAATGTAAAGCTCTGACCCTAAATCAAGTGGTTTTGCTTTGCAGACTCAGATCACCATGAAGGTGATTCAGGGCCTTTACAGCGGCGTCACCACAGTAGAGCTGGACACCCTGGCTGCTGAGATCACTGCCACCCTCACCACCAAACACCCTGACTATGCCATCCTAGCGGCCCGCATCGCTGTGTCTAACCTGCACAAAGAAACGAAGAAGGTCTTCAGTGGTGAGTTGCTATGCATCACTTGTTTCATGTCTTTGTGACACTTCAATCTAAAATGAATTATAATGCTTTTATTTCCTGCTAATCACTTGCCTCCTCCAATCACAGAGGTTATGGAGGACCTCTACAACTATGTGAATCCCCTGAACGGCCACCACTCGCCTATGGTTTCCAAGGAAACCCTTGACATTGTTTTGGCCAACAAAGACGTAAGTATGATATGCATATGTATGATTTGTCTTTGTCTTTTTTTCCCAACAAAGTCACGTTAGGGGTTAAGTATTTATAATTAATGTAATATTTCCTTTCTTTCCTAGCGGCTCAACTCTGCCATCATTTTTGACAGGGATTTCTCTTACAACTTCTTTGGCTTCAAGGTAATTCCAAAATAGAAGAATATGCAACATGTACACTTGTAAATCTAAATCTCAATTGATTTTGTGGTGTTAATCTTAGTTTTTAACGTCTCTTTTAGACATTGGAGCGCTCATACCTGCTGAAGATCAATGGAAAGGGTAAGTCAAGGAATTTACATGCATGCATATAAACAGTCGCATTGAGTCAAGGAATAATAGACCACTATAAAGAAAAGACTTGAAGGGGAAGGGGTAGATGAAAGAATTTTAATGAAGGAATGCAGTTGAGTTGAAAAAGAGCAAAAAGACTGACCTGAATGATGGAAATGGAAAATGTTCCTATGACACTTTGACCACTTTTTCAGTTGCTGAGCGGCCACAACACATGCTGATGAGAGTGTCTGTGGGAATCCATAAGGAGGACATTGCGGCAGCTATAGAAACCTACAACCTGCTGTCTGAGAAGTGGTTCACTCATGCTTCTCCTACACTCTTCAACGCTGGCACCAACCGGCCACAGCTCTCCAGGTAAACAGCAGGAAGGAGAACATACAGTTTTTCAAAAATGTTTTTGTTTTTTGTCAAGGCCTGATTTTCATGTTGGCAAAGTCAGTTGACTTCTATACATAATGTATAATACAAGCTACTTGCTTTTGTCAAATGTCTAGTTGCTTCCTGCTTGCTATGAAGGATGACAGTATTGAGGGGATCTATGACACCCTGAAGCAGTGCGCCCTCATTTCTAAGTCTGCGGGAGGTATCGGGGTGGCAGTGAGCTGCATTAGAGCCACTGGCAGCTACATTGCAGGGGTGAGTTTTACTGGATTTTCTGGTACTATTAAACTTAGCAGTTGTGTTGATTCAGTGTCTTTTGTTATTTTAGACAAATGGCAACTCAAATGGCCTGGTTCCTATGCTCCGTGTCTACAACAACACAGCACGCTATGTGGACCAAGGAGGAAATAAGGTAAGGCATTTTACATGTAAATTTCAGAATGTGGTTTAAATTTAGCTTGAAAAACTGACATTTTCTCTCCTCCTCACTCAGAGACCAGGAGCTTTTGCCATGTACCTGGAACCCTGGCATTTTGACATTTTCGACTTCCTAGAGCTTAAAAAGAACACTGGTAAAGAGGAACAGAGAGCTAGAGATCTGTTTTACGCCCTCTGGATCCCTGATCTCTTCATGAAGCGAGTGGAGACCAATGCGGTGAGCACACTATAAACTATACAAAAAAATATTTGAGATGTATCAAATCTTATGTTGTCAATGCCAAAATAATTGAGATGGGCAATGAAATCAAAATAGGCCGGGGGTTACTGTTCACAGAAGCAGAATGTGAATTCCAGTGCGAAGCATCAGTTTAATGTTGAAAAAGAGAGGTGAGATGGAAATTTGCAAAATGCAAATCATTTAATGTCAGTCAAGTGTTTTACGATAGAATTGATAAGTGACTGACAGCTGTATCTAGTGATGCAAACTACTCTACTTTTTTTTTCTCAAATATGGCCATTATTGGCACAGTGGTTAACCAGAAAAATTAAAAATGGCACTTCA